TGCTGAACGTCGGAAACGGTCGATCGTTCAAGGTTGAACGATCCCCGCGGTGTCAGGAACCAACACTGGGGTCGACACGACACGAACCCGCGGTGCGGCCCAACCCGCCAACGCGCCTGGGTTCGGGACCAGAGGTCTCTCAGATGCCTACTGGGAGGCCCCGTGGGGGGGGGGTCCTGCGGGCCTCCTCGGGCACTTCGGGGGCCTCCTGGGTGCCTCTCCCTCTGGCACGCAGTCCCGCCGGTGCGGCAGACTCGCCCCACGGCGACTCGGCGGCGACCCCGTCGCGGGCGCTCGAGGGCGAGCGCCTCTGGTGGCCCAGACTCAGCCCTCATGACCGATCTTGCGCGATCGGACGGCCGCGATGGCTCCAGGCTTCCAGGCCTCCCAGATGGGGTCCGAGTAGGTGGGGTCGGAGGATCGCGCCGCATAGCCGATGCATCGGCAATGCGGCTCGATGTGGGGCCCGATTTTCTCCACGTCGACGTCGCCGATGCACCGCCGACGTCGGCGATGAATCGGCGATACATAGACGATGCATCGACGATGCGGCGCGATCCTCCGACTCCATCTACTCGGACCCCATCTGGGAGGCCTCTGAGGTTGCAGGATCCACGCGGTGTCAGAAGCCAACGCAGACGTCGCCACGGCACGACCTGCCATTGCCCCAGGTTGCGCGATCCGCGCGGTGCCGGAAGCCAACGCAGAAGTCGCCACGGTACGACCCCTGCCGGTTTCTGCCCAGGCTTTGGCCCGGGCGTTTGCTGGGGTCCATTTTGATTCGATCGATCCGATTGGATATCGATTGTGGCCGGCTCGATCCGAGTCGATTCCGATCTTGCCACAATTTCATGCGCCGCGATGCTTGCATGCATGGGCGCCGTGGTGCATCCTGGCGCAGCGGATCCGATGCGATTTGATGACTCCGTGCCGATGCGGCCCGATCCGACGCGCGTTCCAGTCCGACCCGATCTCCCGATCCGATGCTGGCGGATCCTGCCCTCTGCCTCTAGTCGGGTACAGTGTACAGCAAGGGGGCTGGGCCAGAATCACTAAACCAGGTTTGCCGTAACTCGTGTTTTTGTCGGGTGACGGCAGTTTCTACTAGTGGAACGGGGCGTGGGGGCGTCTCCCGGTACACATCACTAAACCAGGTCCCTTTACACTCAGTCTCAGTTCTGCCAACGCCCGATCCAGGACCACCTGACTGGCCTGCCGACGCCTGACGCCGCGGCCGGGCAGCCCGGTCTTCCGGCCAAGCGCGCGAGAGTTGGGGAGGCGGCCGCGCCACCCGCCGCGGGCGCGCCGGCGCCAGGCCCGAAGGCGGGGGGGGGGCGCCGCCTCCGTGTCCGTCCCGTCGTCGTCGTACTGCTGCTTCTCCTGCTGCTCGGCCTCCTGTCGAAGGAGAAAAAACGCCACAAGCATGAATTGTTGGCGCTCCGCGCGGATTTTTTGCATCCGCGCTGGCCCCCCCGCCAGCGGCGCCTCCGTTGCCGCCCCTGGCGCGCTCCGCGCGCCAGGCAGGGGGGTCCAGCGCGGATCCGAGACATCGGCACGGAGCGCCAAAAGTTTAAGTTTATGGCGTTTCTTCTTCTTTGGCGAGGGCGAGCAGCAGGAGAAGGAGCAGGACGACCAAGTTTGTGTTTATGGCGTTTGTCATTTGTTTATCGTTCTCATCCTGGTTTTGCCCTTTGGCGGCCCGCACAAGGGGGTGGAGGGAGTGGGGAATGCTTCTTAAAAGGAGGCTGCTTCTTAGAAGGTGCTGGCCTTCAACCCATAGATACAGCCCCGCCCTCTAAGAAGCAGGGGTGCTTATAAGAAGCCCTCCCCCCCCCCCCAAACCCCCCTCTGCGCGTGGCCGAGTCCTCCCCTTCCTTCGGCACCGGCACCTTCTCGTCCACCGAAGTTGTCCTTCTTTGGCGCGCCGGCGCCATGCCCAGAGGCGATAGGGGTATCGTCTCCGTCCTCGCCGCCGTCGTCGTCTCGCTGTTGCTGCTCCTCCTCCTCCTCGCCTTGCTCGTCCCCGTCCTGATCCTCGTTCGAGCAGTGGCGAAGCGTCCTGGCTCGCCTATAGGCCCACCAAATGTGGTCTGCACGAGACAGGTCTGGCTGAAACTGTCTTCTTTCATCACATCGGGTTTTTGTCCTAAGAATATTGCCTTTGTTCTCAGAACATTGTGAGGTTCTAAGAACATGTCGTGGTAGATCTATAGGAATGCCGGGACGGTCGGTCCCTGCTCAAAACGTTCTTAGCGTTAAACTTGATTTGGGGGCGTGTGGGGGGGGTCCACCTGTAAGGGGCGATGTGCGTGTGTCGGCAACGCCTCCTCCCTCCTCCCTCCTCTTCCTCCTCCTCCTCCTCCAGCGTCGGCCCAGGATGGCATCAGCGCTGACGCCAACGCGTCGGCCCAGAACAACCGCGCCCGCTTCCTCCCACAGCTGCGGCCAGGGGCCCGCGCGCGCGCGATGGCCTCTCGCATAGCTCTTCTGAAAGCGGTGGGAATGAACGTTCAGAGCTTACGGGACGACAGAGCATCCATGATGTCGAAGGCGTTCAAATATTACGACCTAGCGGTTGCGGTGGGGACCCAACAGCATCGAGTGGACCAGGGACCGACGTTCTTTCGGCATAGTGATCATACTGAGGTGAGATTCGGTTGGGAAAGGGGGACTCATTCTAACAAAAGCTGTGGTATTTCGTTTTTCTTGGGAAGGCGTCTGAGGGCCAGGCACATTACGAAGATCTTCGAGCCCCCCGCAAGTAGCCAAGTCTTTGGGAGAGTAGGAGCAATTAGAGTTCGACAAGGGGGGCAAGACTATCTGTTCGTGGGCGCATATTTTCCTCCGAGATCCGGGGGCACTGTAGCGCAGAGAAACAGCACGACAGAGTGCATCCTGAAGTACGTGAAGGGTATATCGAGACGCATGGGGACCCGTACATTGCCACTTATCTTCGGGGGCATCAATGACGAATTCGGGGTTCAGAAGACCGCCGGGGGCCAGATTATCCAGGCAACTGACGAGATAGGCATCGAGGTTCCTGGGATCGAGCACGACACTGCACGGAAAGTCAGAGGGTTCTGTGAGAGGCAGCACATGTCGGTGGGCACGTCGTTTTACCCGACAGAGAACACATACATCGGGTTCTATGGCCAGAGCAAAATTGATCATTGGATATTGCCGGCTGGAGCACGACAGATTGCACATCGATGTTTTATTGACTACACACTCGCTCGCGCCGTGCAGGTGCGCGAGAGTGAGTATTTCTGGGATCATCTGCCTGTGTGCTTATGGGTTCAAGATCGAGCGTTAGCAGATCCACATCAACAGCCTGGCAAGCGGATTGACCGTGATAAGCTCATGATGTGTTGGAAGCGAGGCGGCCAACGCAAGGAATTTCTTGAGAAAGTTGAGCCGAAGGTAGTGGAGATTCAAAGCGAGCTGAGGGACAGATACGCTCGGGAGGACGTCGACGGGGAGTGGGATTGTTTGCAGAAGTCGATGTTGCACGTTCTTGAGGACGCGTCCCCGAAGCAAGAGGCGCACGGTCACTATTACCCCAGGCTGCGCGAACAACGGATGGAGTTATTGGAAGAGCGCCTCCAACTACGTCGTGGGCTGGGCGTGGGCTGGGCCCTGAGGAATCTTGTGAAAGGCTGGACAATATAAAGGATCGTCTTAACCAGATCAGTACTGAACTGAAGAAGTTGAGAAAGAGGCAGACTGAAGTTCGAGAGCATGAATTGAGTGAAGCAATATGTGAAGCATGGAAAAGGCGGGGCCTGGCCGAGGTCCATCGGCTACGAGTACCCCTGTCGGCGAATGGTCATGGGCCCAAGAAGCGCAACTAATCCAGCGCGAAGGCGACGATGCACGAGGATGACTGGAGAACTGGTTTACAGAAGCCGCCGACTGAGGGTGGCCTGGGGTGCGAGCCCATTCCCGATTGGCAGGCGCATGTTCGAGAGCGCCGACGGCAGATCAACGCCGAGGTGGCCGCGCCGCCCGAGGAAGCCCGACGTCGAGCCCTACGCGACCGAGAGCAGTTGGGCAGATCTGCGGTGAAGGCATCGAAGAGGCGAGCATTTCCTCCACGGGGTCTTCCTGTGGAGTTCTGGGCGATCTGCCTGCGCCCGCTTCGACACGGTAAGCCACCAGGAGCTGGATTAGGGGCGGACACTGAGCCGCAGGTCCCCGAGACGTTCGAGCAGGTGCTCCAGGATTTCTTGTGCCGCGTGAGGCTCAGGGACGCGCCCCCTTTTGTTGTGTTCGAGGTCGAACGCGTATGCGTCGGGCAAGTCCAATGATAAGGGGGGGATTGCTGGGCAGAGAATTTTACGCGTATTTGATTCCACTTCGATGGGAATTAGTGCCGGAGTGATGCGGCGACGGACCGAGAGTGCGATTCAAATCCCAGAGTGGGCCCGAGGAGGGCTTCCCCACCGGCGCCGTGAAGCAGCTATTGCAACAATCGAGTGTACAAGATGGAGAATGAATGAGATTTGTATTTCGACGGCTACGTCTAACTATGATGGGGTGAACGCTTTTGGATGCACGACCAGACCATGCTTACGCGCCAGAGGCGTCGAATCTGATCGGAGATGGCACAGGCGCATCATGGGCGAGACCACGCTTTTCACGAATGCGGGCGAGGGCTTGTCGTTCTGGCCGAAGATAGGCAGCTGCATGGGCTACGCGACGGGGCCGAGGGACTTCATCACCTGCTACAACCCTGGCGTGACGGAGTGGCTTGAGCAGATCAGGACAAAGTCGCCTGAGGAGCGATGGCACATGACGGTGTGTCCAGTGACTGGGAGATTGTGTGACATTTCAGTGGCGACCTTCGTGGATGACGATGCCAAAGTGCACGTCCTTCCATGGCAGCCGTCGGCTCGCCGCGCAGATTTTCGAGTGGCCTTGCGAGGTGAACAACGTGCACGACATATTCAAGATGGCGGACATTCTTTGAATTCAGTGAAGGAGAACACCCTCGTACAGTTGTGGGGAGAGGGTGCCGCGGCAGCGCAGCGGTCACTATCTGCATCATCGGGTTTGCTTGCACGTCCGACCCAGCTGATGCGCGTGCTGGGCCCCTGCCTGAGTGCGGACGGCTCGGTCAGTGCCGAAGTGGAGCTCCGTGTGCGAGCTGCGCATACAGGATGGCACCGACTCGGCAAGGTGCGGCGCAAAAAAATCCCGTTCCGTGTGAAGCGTTGTCTTTTTTCTGGCCTACGTTCAGAACGCAATCTTGTCGGCCCTTGAGGCCTTTGTCTTGGAGCCTAGGCACTGCGAGACTCTGGATCGGACCATGGCCAACTTGTGTAGGAGTATGAGTTGAGGGGTCGCTTACGAGGGCCCCGAGCACAAGCGGACCCTGAGCACCCAGGAGGTCCTCGCGCGGTGGCAAATCCTCCCTAGTTCTCAAGAGCTCCGAGTACGGCGGTTAAAATGGTACCAGTCCCCGGCGTTATTCCCTGCTCACGGGGCCCAGTTGTTGGCCGCCGTTTTTGGCAACAGCTCCCTGGACCTCTCCCTGGGCATCGAGCGTCTTGAGAATGGGTGGGTGGGACCGTCGTCGACTCCGTGGGCTATGCAGATCCAGAAGGATTTGGAGGTGTATGGGAAGACGGTGGAGGCGGAGTACTGGCGGGACCATCTGGGCTCGATCTTGGATGTCTTTCGAGGCCCCACGGCGTTAGAGTTCGCACAGTTCGATGTCGATGTTCTTCGGAGTGCAGGACATAGTGTACGTATCCCCCCCCCTCCTGGACTCGGCGGCCAGATGGCCGCGATCGACCCGCTCGACCCTTTCGCCGACCTCGACGCACTGAAGGATAAGCCGTGGCGTTGCACCTTATGCACTTCCTCGGGCCCGTGTGCGCATGCAAGTTCGACGTATGCCGCGCTCGTATCGCACATGCTGAACGCACATCAGCTTCGCTCGTCGGTCTCGCTGGCAGTGATCACAAATGAGTGCCCCCGGTGTCGAAGCACATTCAAAACTCGAGCACTTGCGAGATGGCACGCGTGGCAGGCGATCGAGGGAACCAGGGGGTGCAAAGTTGATCGTGCTGGGTGGAATCGCCCTGTGGTCGAGCCGCCCCCTGATGCACTCCAATGTCCGTTTTGCGACGTTGTGGCTCTGCACCGCCAGCAATTCTATGACCACGTCACCACGCACTTACCCGATCCATTGTACATCGACCTTGGCCCCTTCCCATTCGATGCCGCTAGCGCTCTGGCTGCTGCTGAGGCTGGCGCAGATCGGGCGGGCCATGCAGAGGCTGCCAGCAGGAGAGCACGCGGGCGCGCCGAGGCAGCAGAGGCCGAGGCTTGGGGCTGGGTCGAACGGCAATGGCGAGCAAGGCAGCATAAGAGAAGAGCTACGAGCAGCGCAGCGCCTCACGATGCCCCTGGACTTCCAGGTAAGGGAAATCGTAGGGGTGCTATTCGACACGTTTCTTATCGGCAAGCAGCAGACGGTGCCCAGCGCGATGGTGGAGGCGGGTCAGATCAGCAATACGGAGGTGTCGAGGCAGAAGAAGGGGCACGGCCTGGGATCGCCCTTCCCGCACGTGGCGCTGGCGATGCTGGAGGCGGCGGTCAAGACCGAGGGACTGGACCCACAGGTGCTAGCTATACTCCAGGCCTGCTCCTTCGAGTGCGCGAAGGGACAATCGCAGACGGCAGAGATTTTTGGTACGTGCAAGGCCAAAGTGACGGCGCAGGGCAAGAGCGAGCAGGAGGGCAAAGCAGTAGTGAAGTTGGCGCTGAAGCCGTACGTGATGCTGCGCAAGCCCGACGGGAGCGGCTACTGGTCGTCGATCGAGCTCCGCGCGGCGCTGATCGCCGTGATGAAGCTGCAGGGCGGCGAGATGCAGGTGGGACCCGCGCCGCGCGCGGACCTCGCGCGGGTGGTCCAGACGCGCATCGGGCGAGGACGAATGAGGGCATGGGCAGGAGTGAGGCGGGCGGTCATACCTCCACTTATCCTCCACCTCCTCCTCCTCTTGTAGACGAGGTTTTGTATGATAGGGTTCAGAACCTAGCGAATTCGGGGAGTGTCCGAGCGGCACAGCTGCTCGCTCGTATGCGCCCTCCCCCTGATGTGCCACCGCGTAGGGGTAATGGGGGGGACCCAGGAAGAGGTACGCCCCGCTCGTAGGGGCAGACTTGCTCTATTGAGCGGTCGTGCCCCGAGCACGGCCGCAGTGTGACAAGTTATGAGTTCATGACTTTGCCCAGGGCCCTGGAGGGGGAGGCGAACTTTTTCTCTGGGCGGAGTGGAGGAAGACAGGCCCCGAAGGTATATTCCAGATTTCAGATTCCTCCTCCTCCTCCTCCTCCTCCTCCTCCCCCTCCTCCTCCTCCTCCTCCTCCTCCTCCACCTGCTCCTCCTCCTCCGTCTGCTCCTGCTCCTCCTCCCCCTCCCTCCCCTCCTCTTCTCCTCC